CTCAAATTTTGATTATAATATATTCGTAAGTAATTTGAGAGCCGGATATATGTAATATGAATAAGTACACAATTTAGGGTTTAGAAATTGCATCGGATGTAATTAGAAATACATGACTAATATGTTGAGTATGAAATAAATTTACTATCTCATTAAATTAGAAGTGCTAATTACATTAAGGACTATTTTCAAATTAAAATATTTTGTAGGGATGACTTTATCAAAAAATATTTTACAGGGACTAAAAACAAAAATTTCTTATTTTATAGGGTATAAAAACATATTTAAACCTATTTTTATTATATTATAAAATACAAATGATTAAAACAAAACATATCGTTAGGACTTATTATATTACACTAACATTATTTATGATTTTATTATCATTGAATACATTTAATTTAGAAAGAGAGATATTTATTTTTCCTTAGAATATTGTTTTAATTTTTTATTTTTTCATTTCATTTATAATACAGTAATACTTTCAATGAATATATATATATACTCGGAGGTGACTTTCGACAAATCCTTCCGGTTTTACCCAGAGGTGCTACGATCAATTCCTCACATTTGTGGTCGAAGTGTAAAGTTTTTACGTTGACCAGCAATATGAGCCTGCATTCATCCACGTCTTCTTGCACAGATAGGGACACAAACTTTTTCTGATTGGATAATCAAAAGTGAAATTTGCACTAAATAGGACTAAAACATAATGACTTTCCTAATTAATGTAGGATTTAAACTTTTTTTATTCCCTAAATAGGACTTAATAATGACCTTGTGGGAGGAATAATGTCCAGTAATGATGAACATTTACTTGAATAATGACAACTTGATAATGACCAAAAGTCTTATATTGGAAAAGTCATTATGTTTTAGTCCTATTTAGGTAAATTACTCTAATCAAAATGCGTGATGGAAAGCTAGGTCAGGTGATGGATGAGATTGGTGATGTTGAGATTCCGCTTGAATTCTTAATTCTTGATACAAGTTCTCCTATGGAGAGTATAGTGGACTTCACTTATCTGAATATATTAGAGAATATGAAAAATTATTCTTTTTTTGAGTATAGAGCAATATTGGCACCAACTCTCGAAGTAGTTGAAATGATAAATGAATTTGTTCTGTCCCTCATTCCTGGTGATGAGAAGGAGTACTTGGGTTCTGATTCTTCGTGCCAAGCAGAAGCAGATATAGGTGTTGATGGCGATTGGATAACAGGTTAGTTTTTGAACAAAATCAAATGTTCGGGATTCCCAAACCACAAAATAGTCTTGAAAACAGGGGAACCGATTATGCTATTGAGGAACATTAACCAAACATCTGGATTGTGTGATGAGACAAGATTAATCGTTCAAGAGTTGTGAAATAATTTTGCCGGTGCAATTGTGTTTTCAGAAAATCGAGTCGCGGAAAAAGTTTACATCCATAGAATGAATTTGGTACCATCTGATCCAGGGCTACCCTTGAAGTTCCAAAGAAGACAATTCTCGATCGCCTTATGTTTTGCTATGACTATCAACAAAAGTCAAGGTCAAACATTGTCATTTGTGGGATTAGTTTTAACCAAGTCAGTGTTCACACATGGTCAACTATATGTTGCTGTTTCACGAGTGAAGACGAAGACAAGATTAAAAATATTAGTTCTAGATGACAATGGAAACCCTTGCAACCATACCAAAAATGTTGTATACCCTGAAGTCTTTCAGAAAATTTGGTATTAAAATAAACATTGTTAACTCTACATTCTATTCCTAAAATATTATTTATTTTACTTTGGCCTTTTTCATTTGTAGTATTAAAAATCATGTGAGCAATATATTTTTCTTTATTCCGAAAAAAAAAATTCATTTAAATAATTCAGAATCGACATAAATTTCTTTCGACCCCGTGCATGGCGCGGGTCAGAATACTAGTTATAAAAATATGTGTGAATTTGGAATCATAATACAATTTCTTATTAACTCTATATACAATTTTGTGTTACAAAAAAATTTGGGATGATGATGTAATTATATACCAAACAAAAAATTTGGAATTGGATTAGAACGACATTGATACGCAAAACTACATAGGCATAACCACGGAGGGAAGTGGTAGTTCGAAGGGCTGACTTACTCAGCTTTTTAAATAATTGTAAATTATTTTTTTTAGGTGATCGATTTATAAGTTTATCTACGGCTTGTTACCTCATCGTTTTTTAATCGTTAAGGCATTAAATTTAGTTGATACTTATGTGGTATCCAATTTTTATTATCATACAAATAACAACTACATTTTGACAAACAAGTTAGTCATATCATTATTTAAATAAAATAATAGGACAAGAATCGGAATTACAAGTTCTGGAACCGGAACCGGTAGGCAAAATGGATGGCCATTCCTCCGTCTTGCGGTACTAGGACCGTTGGTTCCGAAACTGGAATCACCGTCAGAACCCTACGTTGTTCACGCAAGTGTGAGAGTGATTCCGAGATCAAAACTGCTTGAAAGAAAGGATGAAAAAACGAGAATTATACCGTATTCTTTTAAAATACTGCTCTCTTTGTCCCATTTTAAATTGTCTGTTTTCCTTTTTTTCGTCCCAAAATAAGTTGCATGTTTTTTGTTATCTTAAACTTTTAAGTCTAAAATACCTAAACTACCTTTAAAATAAGTCAGTCTTCTCCACCTTATCTTCTCGTTCATCGTCATTCCTCCTAAAAAGTAATGACACTTTCAAAAAGTCAACTCTATTTTTTCTCTTCCTTAAATATGTCCCAAAGGCCCAAAGTCAAAACGGACGATTTAAAACGGGACGGAGGGAGTAATAACTCTATTAGCACAATTTATTCTTTCCATTCTATAAAATCCAAATGTGGAGCATCCGTTGCCACCAATCTATCATCAAAAATCTAATTTAGTTCCTCTAAATAACCATTCGGTCGGATTTAAGCAAGCTCTCGAGAAAAGGTATCATTCTTTTCTTTTAAAGCCATAGATTTCCTTTTATATTTTTAATTTTTTTTCTTTTCTTGCTTTTGTGTGGTGGAGATGGAGGGGGGTACAAATGGGGTACAAAAATTGGTGTACCCCTAGCATTTTTTGAAAAAGACGAAGAAGTTGAGATGATGATGATGATGATGATGCTCTAAGCTTTATTCGGTGTTGTTTGGCGATAGTAGGATAGGTCATATACATGTTTCGAAAATTTTTGGAAAGGTTTTGACTTTTGTAATGGTACGTATTTATTTAGGACTCATTTTATTTGTCACAAACGGGTCATGTCTCGGTTTCAAATGGGACAGCTTAAAATCATATTTTTCTGTCCTGTTTGTTTTGTTTCATCTATTCTACTAATATATAGTACTAATCCTAGCACAAAGACCTTCAGTTTTTTAACTAATGAAGTCACTTTCGCTCTTTTAGGCTTTAGACCAAACTTTAAACTAATTTCATTCATTCTGTTCAGCCGTTGGATCTCTTTTGGTTCTCTTTCAAAGTTAAAAGACTCCTTTTTATGTTGGACTTTGTGTAGCTTTTGGATCTCAACTCCCCCCCCTCCCATACACAGCTTTCTATATAATTCATCTTTTATTTGTGACAATAATAAAGAGAATCAGAACAAGTACTCCGCATTGTTTTATTTTGATGTCGAATATTATAAATCAGATCCGAAGAAGACCTTGTGAAAGGGTGTCATCCTTTTTTTCCAAATGTGGAGCACCCGGGGTTCACGTAATAGAAATCACTTTAAATAGGACTAAAACATAGATAAAAGTACTAAAATAGGACTTTCATGTTTTTTTTCTCGAAATAGGACTTTGCACTGTGGTAATGTGACTTTGCCCTGTGGTAATGTGGCAGTGTACATGTGCAAATTACTATACGTTTTTTGTAATGTATATGACCATGTATGGTAATGTAAGTCATATTTCAGAAATAAAAACATGGAAGTCCCATTTTGGTATATTTTCAATGTTTTAATTCTACTTTGGTCTTTCTCTCCTTCACACGTAAATCACGTTCCATCTTTGAGTAGTGACTAGTGAGTGAGGGCTGCTACGTCTGGGGATGATTGTTTGGTAAAAAGTATGGCTGTGATTCCACCACGTTGGAGGGGATGCCGGAGGCTGCCTGCTATGCCAAGTGTACGTACATTTATTGTTTTGTGTGCAATTATTTTGCAGCGACCAAAAGTCATCAAATTTGAATCCTCTCTCTTCTTTATATGCAGAGTTATACCAAATTATTTGTCACATTTCTATTACTGAGGTAATATATCAAATTTTTTCAATTCATTTTAATTACATATTGGTAAAGAAATAAAAAATAAAAATTACATATAAAAAAGCTACATGAAAAGTTCTTCGAAATAAGGGGTGTCAAGAATATTTTATTTTATCAAATAACTAATGAAAACGTAGAAATAAACAAAAGTTCCCGCAGTTGAAAAAGCAAATGTGGCAAATAATTTGGGACGGAGGGAGTATTACATTTATGGCTCCAAGGATAGAATTTAAAACAAGAGACCAAGTATCGAGTATCGAGCTTCACCAACGGGAGTGTAGGAACAATCTCTCAAAAAAGGAGAGGAACTCCTTGTACTCAATTGAACAATGGTCCCAATTTTTATTGTCGATTGAGTCACTACGATTCACATCCTCTTACAGTTCATCATTACGCGGTGGGGAACGACTAGGGTGGGCGATTTTTACCTTTGGGAACATGTGGAGTAATTACTTTAATTAGCAAATATGATTCATATTGTATTGATACTCAAACTTGTGTGATAAATACTAGGTAGATTTTTAAATGAAAAGTGTTGTTATAGTAATTGGAGATTTGGAGTTTCTATTTATACTGTATTTTGGCTATATTCAACTCTTTTTGTGAAAAAATGATAATTTGTTTAATTTTATATGTTGGCTTGAATATAATCATTTTGGCTTGAATTTTGAGCAATAATCATTGTTATTCCTCCGTATACAAATATCAGTTTGATTTAATAATGGTTTTTGACCGTTACTAAATGAACACTTATTTCCCCAAGTAAAACAAGCGTTTTGATACCTAAAAATAGTTAGATAAATTATTTCTTAAAGTTGATATATTTGTGCACAATTACCTTATTCATTAACACCAAGACAAAATATATAAATATGCAGGGTTTATAAGTAAAGCCATATAACAACTAATGAAATTCCTCCATGATCATCAATCAAAGCCTTAAAAGTAACACAAATAGCACACATTAATATTATTATTCGATATTATGTTGTGGCACATTTGTTGGTGATAATACTAATAATAATAATGATAATAAAAATAATATTAAATCGGACCAACAGCTTAACTTAACTGAAACACAAATTGGCGGAATTAATTAGTGGAAACGCTGTGGAGAACAACGGTCTCAACGGTGAGGCCCGGCCCAAATCCAAACAGGACTCCCCACTCGAGCCCTTCACCGGTGGTGCTAAGCCCATCTTCCGCCGAGGCCTTTCTCATCTCGTCCAATATGAACAGCACACAAGCACTGGACATGTTCCCATACTCGCTCAACACGTGCCTCGTGGCCCGGAGCTTCTCGGGCTTCAGGCCCAACTTCGCTTCCACCTGGTCCAGTATTGCCGGCCCACCCGGGTGGGCGATCCAGAAGAGGGAGTTCCAGTCCGAGATTCCCAGAGGTTGAAAGGCTTCCTTGAGACTCTTCTCTATGTTCTTTGATATGATCCCGGGGACGTCCTTCAGGAGATGAAACGTCAGGCCCACCTCGCGAAGGTGCCCGTCGATTGCCCCGTGGCTGTCGGGCAGGAGAGTCTGGGCGGCGGTCACGAGCTCAAACAAGGGCCTCTCCACGTCCGGGACCGGGTCCGACCCAATTATGATCGCCGCGGCCCCATCCCCGAAGAGGGCCTGGCCCACCAGGCTGTCCAAGTGGGTGTCGCTGGGCCCGCGGAAAGTGACGGCGGTGATCTCGGAGCAGACAACGAGAACCCGAGCGCCACGGTTGTTCTCGGCGAGGTCCTTGGCGAGGCGGAGGACGGTGCCGCCGGCGAAGCAGCCCTGCTGGTACATCATGAGCCGCTTGACGGAGGGCTTGAGGCCGAGGAGCTTGGTGAGCTGGTAGTCGGCGCCGGGCATGTCGACGCCGCTGGTGGTGCAGAAGACCAGATGGGTGATTTTGGACTTGGGCTGGCCCCATTCCTTGATGGCCTTTTGGGCCGCTTCTTTTCCGAGCTTTGGGACTTCTACCACCACAATGTCCTGCCTGGCATCCAGGGAGGGCGCCATGTACTCGCACATGCTGGGCTTGTCTTTCAACACTTCCTCCGTCAAGTACATGTAACGCTTGTTGATCATTGACTTCTCGCCTAAAATAAGACAATAATTTTAACACTAATCATATAGAGTGTTAGTTCTATCACTAATAAATTAAACTTAGGCCTCTTTGGCATAAATTAACGCATTTTGAAAACACAATCTAAAAATAGCATTTAACATAATTTTATTCAAAACTCTAAAGCTAATCGAAAACATTGTACAGCTTAAACAACATAGCAGGAGAGAGAGAGAGGGGAGCACAATTAATTAATTGATTAAGTAATTAGCTTACACATGCGCTTGAACTTTTCTTTGAGATCAGTCATGTGGTCGCTGTTAGTGATGCGGAAATAATAATCAGGGTAAGTGCTCTGGTCGACGCAGTTGGGCGGCGTGGCGGTGCCGATGGCCAAGATCGTGGCCGGACCCTCCGCCCGTTGTGCCTTCCTCACCTCCTCCACCGTCACCATTTTCACAAAGCTAATAAGGGAATGAATGAACCGCCGGCCTGGGGCGTTGCCGGAAAACAGAAGGCGAGGATATAAAGCCGGCAGCTGACTGAGAGACGGTGGGTGAGGAGTATTCAAGAAGTGTGTATTGCTCCGTTAGAAGCGGTAGCGGTGGTTCATATTTATAGCGGTGCATGCTCCTATTAAAGGCCGTGAAGCCAGGGTAGGTGTCCCCAAAAAAAAAAGAAGGGTCTGGTAGGTGGCTCGTGGGACTGTGGGAGGAGTGAGATCATGAGTTCATGACCAGTACAAAACTTCTTGTTTTTAGGAATTACTCCGTACTATCTCCCACTTATGTCTTTCTTTAACTCTCTTTTTTCAAATAAATTTAATAAATTTTGACCTCTAATTAAATATGGAAGATCTATCCCCATTTTATAAAGGGCAGTGGTACACCATCAATTTTTAAACCGAGGTAGTGCAGTATAAAATTATAAACTTAATGTAATTAATTTTTAAATTTTGTTCAAATCAACTTTTTTTTTATTCAAACTAGATGAATACTTCAAGGCGGAAGAATTACATTGCATTAAAAAAATTTGTAGACGTGATTCCTCTAAACACCGTCTTGCTCTTGCTGATATTCTTCTTCAATGGTGCCCCCAGTGATATGTTGTCCTTGTACTGGATCCGCCACTGTATGGAACACCACTTGAGGTACACCACATGTACACCAAGCTTAAAATAAGCACACATAGACAATAATTTTTTTAAACTAGGTGGTAGTGAGTTTTGAACTCATGATCTATTGGTCATCAAGGCTCTGATACCATGTAGAAGAATCTACTCAACCAAAAGTTCAAGCTTTTTATTGTGGCTCATGAATAATTTTTATATTCTCTAACATTTTTTAAAAAATTAATTAAGGACACTGTTACAATTTTTATATGGGTAAAAGTAATAAAATACCGCTAGCATTATAACAAGGGTAAAGTCCTACCTATTATCAGCTAAAGTTTTTAGGTTAGAAAGTGATCTGATCTCAAAATTATTTGCAAGTGATTAATTTTACTCAATTTTTCTTGTTATTCTCGAGTCACTAGAATTTTGTCATGGTATTAGAATAGGTTTTGGCCCATCTTATTTCTCAAGGTGTTTGTCTACACGCTCATTTAGCGGCCCTAATCTTTAAACAATTGTCCGTGTAAAATGCATATCCGAAGGCCTGTGGATCACTTAACTCGATTGCTCATCTAGAACTTCATAGTTAGCGGCTTGTGGTCTTTTAGGTGTTGACGCTAAAAAATAAATCAAGAGAATGTAAAACTATTTGCAAGTGGTCAATCGATTGGATTTAGAATCGGTCGATTGTTCACTTGAGAGTAAGTGTTTGAGTCTATATCACATCAAGAAAATTGAAAAGAATATAACAGTTTTATAATCTCTTGAGTTAAATATATTAATTGATTGAATTCAGTCTTTTTATGTGATTCAGCTCGAGTGTCATATTACCTAGTCCAGTAACTATTTCACTGTTGCCCCCACCATATATTCCAAGATCCACCACAAGTTTTAAAGCCATGTTTCAAATATTAAATTATCTTTAAACGATAGTTTTTGTAATATCCTATTTTTATACTCCACCTAAAAGTGAAAAATTTCACCACCTAATAATAATGGATATATAAGACACTAATTTTAGATACAAAACTTTAACAAAGGTGTATTCCTTAAGAGTGTGTAATCCTCCATATAGTAATTAATTAATCATGGTACTTGGAGGAAGGAGGACTTGCATGGAATGCAAATGGGCGTGCAATACGACATATACGTGGCTGTGAATGATTAGGTGTGGAGAGCGGCCATTATTCCACCACGAGGGACCTAAACCTCTTAACCCCATCTTGTGATTCTTGCTTGTCCAACACTATCGTCCCTCGATCTCACTCCCCTCATCATCCATTGGATTCTTTCTCCCTTTTCCCTCTTTTTGTTTCTTCTTTCTGTTTTTGTGGGGTTTCTTTATAGCCACCGCTTACACCTACCTACCAATTTTAGTTGCACATACTCCTTCCTTCTCCCAATACATTATACTAGCTCCTTCGTTCACTCTCTTAAACATGAGAGTTATGGACACTACCATAATAGCCACACATTATGTGTGGGAGGCTTACGGCGGGGCGGAGTTGGGGTGGGGTGCAGGGGTGGAGGATAGGTAGGGGGTTTAGAAGGTGAGTTAGGAGGGGTAGGAATCATCAATGTTATAAATGGATCACTGAAAGTGTCAAAAATAACAGTGGCACCGTTAGTGTCACCAAAGATGAGTGTCACTAGAACCCCACTGATCTTGGATACACATATCATATTTTAGACAAAAAGTGGAAAAATAAAAGCTCTTTAAGAGATTAGCTTATAGACCATGTGCAAGGGAAACCAATATTATATTTTGCAAGTTTTAAGGTTAAAAAAAATGAAATTTGCACTATATAATACTAAAACACTAGTTTTCTATCCCGTGCTACGCACGGGCTTGTTATTAGAGCTCGGTATCATGATGTTAATGAGATGATTCTTGAAAATCGAGGGTTTGGTTTATGTTTTGATTTTCTTCGGTGCTACGCTTGGACATGTGTTAAAGGGTTGTGTATGTTTTGGTTATGTAAGATTTTGGATTACTATATTGTATACTTTTGTTTTGTGGAATTTGAATAGTGATATTATTGTAGTTTGAGGGTTTTGCAATTTGACGTTGGTGTTGTATGTTTTGGTTTGTGTATTTTGTTAGATGTTTTTTCTTTGGGTTAACATTATGAGTTTGGTAATGAAATTAAAACATTGAATACATACATAGAGAGAGTTAGGTATAGTAGATGCTAAAAAAAATTTAATGCGTAATATGGAATGGAAATTCTAATGATAATGGCTAAAGATTATTTGTGGAAGCGATTGTTATAGTGTAATTGTACTTATTGTCTACAAATCGAGTCCGGTTATTGTATATCCAAATGCATCTCTGAGAAGGACTATTGTTTGTTTAGCTGCATCTTGTCAACACCATTTTTCGTATCATTGCTGCCTATAATTGGGATTTTTATTCCATCTTCCATTATGATCTGTAGTGTGGTGTAGTAATGTTGATTTCTCTCTTTGGTTTCATGGGTATAATGTGCCTATTGTAGATGTAATTGTTTTAGGATGTGGGAAAGTTTTGTTTTGTAAGAGATGCGAAGTTGTTGCTTGTCATCCTCCATTATCTGCAAAACGTAGTAATGTTAGGGGTAGGGGTGCATACAAATCAAATAAAATGTATTCGATTCGTGATTCGTATTCGAAAAGGATGATTCGTATTCGCTATATTCAAATTCGAATATAAATCGTATTTTAGATTCGAATTATTTTCGAATCCGAATACAAATATTAATAGATTCGATTCGTAAATTATTCAAATTATTTGAATTTTATAAATTATAGATAAATTTATATATATTCTTATATATTAGATATTTGTGTACATATTTTAACATATTTTAATATATTAAATTTTTGTGTACATATAAATTTATATATATTCGAATATTATAATTTATAAATAAATTTATATATATTCTAACATATTTTTACTACATTTTACATTATTATTAAATAATAATTTAATGTCTTTGAGAAATTTTTTTAAGAAAAAATTTCTAATATTTTCGAATTCGAATATGCGAATACGAATTCAAATACGTCCAATATCTATCGAATCAAATACGAATGCTTTTTAAAATTTGAATTATATACGAATCCGAATTTGAATACATATCACTTTAATCGAATACGAATCGAATAGTGGTATATTTGCTTCGATTCGATTCGTATACACCCATAGTTAGGGGCGACATGATTTTAAGTGTATTTTACTTATGTGTAGACATGTTTGGGTAGTTTTGTTTTTTGTAAAATTTTTGTTTTTTACGAAAATAGAGTGACATAATGAATTTTTTTGTAAAGTTGAGGATTCATTTGAAATTACTTAAATATGTACATTGAAGGGAGAGTTTAGGTTTTAAATGTGATATGTAAGAGGGGATTAAAGTTTTGTGTTTTTTTTCTTTGAAGAATGGAAATGTTATGGACTTATGGGTGGAGTAAAGAATAAAAGTAGTTTGGTATAAGGATATGAAATGTTATGTGTACACCAAGTTATATACATATAGGGTTGTTGGTGGTAATATAGAAGATAGACTTACCACCAAAGGTACTAAAATAACACCAGGTCGTCAAGGCATTTGCAATGTTCGGTGTGGTGACAACAGCTCCAAGTGGAATGCCATTCCGAATTCCCTAATGAGAACCCCAAAAAAACAAAACTCCATATATGTTGTGGGTTTTTGGGATGCGAAGCCAAAACTTTACCTTTGCCATGGTGACGATATCGGGCACAACTCCATGGGCCTCAAACCCCCAAAAATGGCTCCCTGTCCTACCAAAGCCTGACTGGACCTCCAGCACTTCAAATAGTACCATACACAACTGGCAAGTAGCCCGGAGCCAGTTCCATGATTCCCCCAACACCCTGTCAAGAACATGATTTAACCATTAGTAGAGCTCCTAGGTCATATGATATGTTGGGATATAAACCAACTCACATACCAGATGGAGAAAAAAAGTTCAAATCCAATAGTATTATTCTTTAGGAAGGTGGCTAAAAACAAATCTGTGAAGGTTTGACCTAAACTGTGTAAAACATCATACTAATGCGAAGTTAGGTGAAACGACACATCATTCAGCTAAGCAATACGCCTTCGTGTACGGGTATGTTTTAAAGATTGATACCTGTATGGCTTCAGCAATAAAACCTGCAACACGGTCGGTTGTCCCATACGTGATAACATCATCAACGTCCCTAGCATATTTTTTCCCAGCAAAGCCAAACACGCACCTATACTGATCAGGATTCAATGTATGGTGCACTCCTGTCTGTCCAATCCAGTAAAGAGAACACACAATCACCAGTCAAGTGAAAGAAGTTCAGATTGCAAAGAAACTAACTTGTAAATAATTTGTTTTTTCTGCCACTATATGAAAATATTAGTAACAATCATATGCACCTGCACTATATTGAATTTGTAGCTAGAGTGTGCAGTAGAACTCATCGTAGCAGTTGCA